GTTCAAGCTTTAGCACCCTGCTTTGCCTGTCGGCGTCCCAGGCTCCCCAGCCCAGAGTAGCTGGGCTTTTGAGAGCTGTAGTTGGGGGTGCCTGTGTAAGGGCAGCCATAGTTATATGACTTCTTGTGCTTTCAGTGACTCCCTACGAGGAATATTTGCATCTTGGTGGTGTTCAGAGTGGGGGAAAGGAGGGGAGGAAAGGACATGGCAACAAAAATCTGCAACAAAAGATACTGCAGCAAAATCTGGAAAAACCGGGAGTGGAAAACAGGAGTGGAAAACCTGAGCAAAGCGTAGTGGAGTAGTGACTGGAGCAGAAGTAACAGGAGAGCTCAAAATGAGGGGAGAATGGGGACAGAGCGGGCAGAAGGAGTCGAAATGAAAACAAAGCCTGGTGAGCAAAGGGGCCTGGGAGAAGGCAGGGCGAGGCGGCAAGGTCGAGTGAGGCGCTGGAGGCAGAGGTTGGGTGGGGAGGGAGGAAAGCATTGGGAAGCAGCAATGTGTGATACGGTACAGTGATACAGGTAACTGTCTTCTGCTCCCAGACTTCTTTCCTGTGGAGTCCTGCTTCAGGCGCCGGATCACATATAATCCGGGAAAACATCGTTGTGGAGTGAAAGAGGCTGTTTCATTTGGGAGACCTGCTGACCTGTTGTGAGAGTTGGAGGCTGTTTAGAATAGGAGGTTGGTAGGAGAGACGGGAAGGTGCAATGGTGAGCAGACCATGGGATGCTGCCCTGTAGAATTAGATTTTATCCTTGCCTCTACTGCAGAGACTTTATATGATGATGCATAAGATTTGAGAGATTTCCTGTGTAAGACATTGAGCAATGGACTATTCAGCTCTACTTAGGTTATTCAGAGTTTATCTGTAAAATGCATGAAATCCAGGTCTCTCTGAAGACCATTACAAAGCCTTCCTAGACATCACTGGGACAGGATTTCTCAGATAATAATTACGGACTTTGTGATCTCTTCTTACCTGCTAGCCTACTGCCTACTGGACACTGGGAGGGTATTAGAAAGAAGTGTATCATACATGCCTGCCCTGCTTTTAGGCCCTCTGCAAGGTGTTTGCTTTTGACAAGCTGGGATACTGGGCTTTACGTTAGCTACATTCAACTCATGATGTGCTGTGCGGTTTGTCTGCTGCTCTGTCTCATTCCGTTTGCATCAGTACATTTTGGGTAACAAGGCTATACAGCCTCATGAGGATGCAAGATGTCCACAGGATTTTTAAGACATTTCATGTAGGAGATACGCAAAGAGTTTGGAGGCAGAAGGACTGACCGTTCAGGTGACAGTAGCACAATTACCAACCATCCAACAACAAATTCCATCCACTTACAAAAAAAATCTTAAAATTAATTGTATCCTGAATCACGCACCATCTTACATCTGATATAACCAGAAATATAAAATGCCATCATTAGTCAGGACTTGTATGTATCTATCACTACAGTAATTAAATACTTTAGAAACACTGGGAAAGATTACGCCAATTCTAGCACTCATATGGGTATAACTGTGTCTGCAATTAGGATGCTACATCACCTTCACATTTCAAAACTGAAAATGCAGCAAAATAAAAATCTTTCAACACAAATTGTTTAGCAACAGCCAAATGCTGAGCGTAGAGAAGTTGAATTGTGAATTGCAGAATATTTTGAGAATTATTATACTCCTCAAGGAAACAATACTACATTTCAGGTGAAATGCAGAGAATACTTTTGTAGAAGAACAAGATGACTGTTCTTTTATAATATCCAAGCCCGATATCCTGCAGCCCCCAGGAGCAGCCACCAGCGGGTAAGGCTAGACACATGTGGGAATGCCTCCTAGTACTCTCCCATTCCCCAGCCATCTGCAGCTGATGGCATGTGGTTTCTGCCTGTTTAGTAAAACAGCGGATTTCTCCTCATGATACTTGTCCAGTTTTCCCCTGGACCCATCATCTAGCAGTGAATTGCACAGGTCTATCAGCTGTTGCATGAGAAGCCACCTTTTTCGTTTTGAACGTGGCTTCTCCCAGCTTCAGTGATGCTTCGCTTATTGGAAGAGTAAGTGAGCAATTGATCCATACTTAGCTACTGTGCTGCTGGATTTTATAGATGTCAGTCATATTCCTTATAATCTCTCTCTTTTCCAAGCTGACGAGCCCTGGCATATTCAATGTTCCTTCTCTGGGAGCCAGTCTATACCTCTGGTTTTCCTCATTGCTCTTTTCTGACCTTTTTCAAGTGGTACTATATCATAGTAGCGATATCCCCTTTGGACCACGACTGTGCTGATAGGTCTGACCTAGGCAGGGCAGTGCCCTTGGAGTGTAATTTTTAGCAGACATGATTTTAAAATGTTACACTTTAACTAGCAAAAAGATGCTTGTAACAACACTTGTTTCGGTTTAGCTTGCACTGGCAAATAACATGCTTAAGCTAAAGTAAAATAAGCCATCCTTAAAAAATATGCACTGATGAGATGCTACTGATTTAAAAAGTCATAGGTAATGAAGCTGGTTTAAGTTTGTGCTTGGCAAGGAGCCTGTCTTGTAGGAAAACAATGGTCTGCTTCACATTGAGTCGGTACGGGGTTGATATGTCCTTCCACTGGAACCTGAAATGATTTACCTGATCCACACGAATGAAGCCAAAGCAGCCAGCGGCTCTGTAGCCTGCTCCCCAGGCTGCCTTGCCCTCCTCTGCCCGCCCTTGCTTTCCTCTGGCAGGTCCTGTTCTGAAACGCTTCTTTCTCTGCTTCCCTCACCTGTTTTCTGCTCCTTGCTCCTTGCTCTCACACACTGTCTTGGGCCTCCGCTTCAAAGCCTTTCTTGGACCTATCTGTTGCTATTTTTTTTTATATCTTAGGTGACAGTGAAGACCTCCACTTTCCAGTGACCCTGGTTTTGCCGCTTTTATCTGTGCTTCTCAGAACGTGACCTTGCCTCCCAGATGACTTTAAAGCTCTTCATTATTTCCTTCTTTTTAAATCCCTTTTCAAGGCTAACTTCCACAACAGATACTGACCAAATAACGATAAGTTGAGGGATTCTGAGAACAGCATCCTTAGCTATTAAAAATAAAACAAAAGCAAATACATACCATGTGTATAAAATAGAAGATATTCTCACAGTAACTCTTACCTGCTCATGTAATTCTGAGCTCCAGCCTTACATGCACGTCTCCCTTACCATGTATGAGAAGTGCTGGGGAAATAAGGCAAATATTTGAGTCAGTCTGGGGTTTATTATATGTTTATGTAAGAACTTCTAGAAAAGAACCTTCACTGTTTTCCTGGAGGAAATTATCGGATTATATATGTATCTGAATGTAATAAAAAAACAAGCAGTTTATCAACATCTTGGTTTATAAACAGATGATAAGATTAAGAACAGTATTTAAACATAGTAAAATTTTCTAAGTTACATGTTACAAAAGACAAGTAATTCTATCATCTTTCTGTAGTGGATAAGCTAAGAGAAATATTTGAGAGTGTTTAACTCAAGGTACTGTATTCTCTCTTAGCAGGAAGGGTTACGTAGACATGAATGCCAT